CGCGAAACCAAATTAAACGCCAACACTAGGCATGCTGCAGCAAGGAGATGTCGTCAGTCGGCACCTCATGATGCAACTTGATTTTGCTTTCAAATTATTTTTCCCATTGCCCTGACATCTATCAGTGATAGAAATAGACAAATAGTGGAATATCTAATTCGCAGATTAGCTTTGATATAGTACAACATAACCAACAAAATGGACATTGCTCATAGGAAGCCCTCAGAACAGAAATAGACGATTTTCATTAAGAAGAAGATAGAGTTTGATACAACGCGGCTGATCGATCGAAAGGTGGCGAGTGCCGTCATCAAACTTCAGCCACAGCACCACATACAGTGCGACGGAAAACAACAGAAATGTCGATTGTTGCTACGATTATTATATTACACACATGCATGCAAAGTTGACAGGAGAACCATGCAGTGTCTCAATGGGGGTGTTTGTTCTCCTTCAGACTTAAAAGTTCACCTTTGGTATAGTACTAATATTACTCAGAACAACGGTAGCCGGTAGGACGTGCGTGCATATACCAACTCAAACAGGAACCGAACACAACCAAGGACGACAAGGGCGGGCAAATAGATACGACGGTTTTATTCTCCATCTATATATTCTTTGTCTGAACCAAGCCATCGACCTGTACGAATGAATTACGAGTTAGTACCAGCCCTGACTTTCACAAGCAAAGCATGGATTTTAATTTAGGCATATTGAACACATAGTACTGGTAATACAAGTAGTAGCAACAGTAAAATACAGTTATGAACCGTTGATCCACGAGAAAGTGATCAAGTGGATGCGGCGTCAGGCCCAGTTTTAAGTCCAAGAATTCCACCAGAATTCCATTGGAAATAAAGAGTTTCCAGCAGAGATTTCCATGAAACCCTGTGTTCAAATTCAAAATGGGGCCTCATCCTAAATGAGTTTTGAAACACCGAATGACTACCACAAGTCATCTCATTGTTTAGGTATTATAATTAGTTGAATGCTGGCTATTTCCGAGCCTGACCATGGGAACAAATGTATGATGCTTATAGCGAATTTCAATAGGTTTTTTTTTTCAGTCAAGGCTTTTCATGTCATATCTCTGCGTTGCATGTCTCATCTGTTGTGTCCTGTGGCAAGACTGCCAGGATGTTTGCATACAGGCAATTCCTGAAAAACCTGGAAACCAGTAGTTGCTTCCATCATCATTACAACTCCTGGCTCAAAGCCTCCAACACCAGTTCTATAGATGATGAAGAGAAGCCACATCTTTGAGGAACCAGTTTGGCATAGAACTTCCAAAAATGGCCAAGGAGATTAGCCCTTACCTCCTTTCTTTTTCTTTTTCGTTTTTCATTTTTCATTTTTTTTTCCTTTTTGCAACAATTGTGAGCCTTCGTTCTTGAAATGCCTGGTGACTTGTTGCCTGCTTTGCTGTCTCTCCTTTTTCTAGAAATTGGAATTTCTTGAAATGCCTGTTGACTTGTTATCAGCTTTACTCTCTTTTTTTCTAAAAAAAAAGATGGCTGCAGTCCTCTTGCCTCTTCTTCACCTCCTTTGCCAAGGGGTGGCACACTTGTCTAGCAAACCAGAAATTGACAACAATTCTAGTCCAAGGCTACCATAAGCCATTGATCAGGCTCTGTTCAAGACTGATCACATATCAAGGCTGTGATACCCATCAATTCGAGTGCAATGATTCATTATGCCAGGCAGCACACTAATAAAGCATGCATCCCTCCCATTTTGCTTCATCGGATCCTGTTCCAAAGCTTGTGTGACCATGGAAGTATACATTCCTCTTTTTGAGCAAGAGTATACATTCCTCCGAGACGGCAGAACCACATTAGGATGAAAAGAACATAAAACCAGTTCATTGATTGCAATAGTCATGAAGCCTGATGCTTCATTTTTTTTACTGAACCATAGAATGTGCCTTTGAATATAATGTTGTCACTACCACCTAATCTTTGAACGGATTCAACTGACCTATCCTGTCCATGCAGACAGAGACATGCATTGCACAGTCAGGTTCAAACCTCAGTTTCAATATTAAACCTTGGAGCCAATTCCATCAGGGAAACAGAAAGAAATCGAAAACTTTAATTTGAAACAAAGGTGCATAGATAATTAATCTTCTGCACGGGAGAATTGAAGCAAAGGATCAATGGAGCTTATACCTTGTTATGCCTTAGTTTCCTCCCGGTGCAGGAAGAAGGCGTAGAAGCCACCGAGGACTGTCGTGCCCGCCATGGCCCAAACCAACACCTGCACCGGGAACGGCATGATGGCCGCCACCTTGTATGAGAAGGCAGCGGTAAGCATTGTGGTGAGCAGCCACACCGCCATCTTGAGGTGTTCACGGCAAGGCGACTCTGGGGTTGTCCTCTCGTACAAACGCATGCAGTAGAAAAGCGAGACAAGGTCCAGGTAGGAGAAAGCCACGAAGGCGATGGCTCCATAGTCTCCATTTGATCGGTAAACAGCCATGCCTGAGTTGAAAGTCAGGAACAGGAAGCCCATCACAGTAAGCAATGAGATACCATGGTCTTTGCTTTTGTTCGGCACTGGCAAGTTCTCATGATGTCGTCCGAGCAGGGCTTCGTTGTCCACAGGCTTTTCTGAACTCATACCAGCTGATCGCCAAAGGGGATTTAGTGATAGCTAGATAGATCCTTGGTGAAACGATGACAGGAGGTTTGAGCAAAAATCTGAAACACACAAATTGGTCTGGGTGACTAAGATGTTGGTGCTCTAGAATGCAAATTAATCTGTTTGAGGATTATTATTCAGATTGATCACAACTCACAACAGTAGATACTGGATAGAATCACAAATACTACAGCTAGGAACTCAAGTTAATATTCAGTTGGCAATATTCAGTAGTGAATAGTACACTAAAATCTTGTGCAGGCTCTGCACCAATTCTCTCGTTAAGGAGAGGTGATGGACACTGCTTATGTATGCATTATGCAGAGCATCTGGCACTGGCGTTAATTTTTAGGATTTGTTTGAGGTCAGCTTATGTCGTCTTTTCTAGCTAGTTCAGTTATGTGCAAAATTATTTCTTTTTGGTATAATGGACCATGAAAGACGTGTAAAACTTACTCCCTGGACCAGGAATGTGACAAGATATATAGCTACCTATAGCTATGGTAAAATTAGTATGGAATAAACAAAATAAATATTGAAATAAAGATAAAATGGTATTCATATTTCCCTCAAATATAATTTTTTAACGCAATCAACTATGAAATATCATAATATGGTATATATGATTTGGATTTGTATCTTTCGCTTGCCAGCTCGGGCAAGTAAGCAATGGAAGGAAGGGAAGTATATACCGATCGCTCTAAGCCTTTTGGTTTGATCACATGTGTGAAAGGAAGCAAACCGTCAGAAAACCAGTTGATTGAGGAAATAACAGCCATCAGTAGCTGACTGGTTAATATATTAATCATTTTCTTAATTATTATCCATTCTAATTTAAAAATCTAGCAAGTCCCAGATTCATCTGCTCCTCTAATTTGCGCTGGGCTAGGTAAAGTTCATAATTTTTCTGTGCTGGTAAAAAAAAGACAGAGTGAAGCATCAATTGCTCTTGTCGAGGTCTGCTGAACACTGCTAAGTATGCAGTATGCAGAACATCTTTTTTTCTTGGGTTAATTGGATCTGTCATTATAATTCTGTCGCTTTTGAAGCACACCATTATTATTCACGAAACTATGCCAATGCCATTATAATTCTTGCAAAAGCTGAAATATGCCATTATATACGTCTGCGGTGTCTTTGGGCCCACATGCAGGTGTATGGACAATTTTGTATTTTCGTATGGACCAAAATACCCCTCCACTCTATCTCACTTACAAGGTGGGCCCAATGTGTCATCCCCTTCCTCTCCACTTACGTAACACGGATACGTCAAGAAGATGCCGTATCAAGTATCGGATACGTATCCGATACGGCTTCGATACGTATCCTGCGAGTATCAGATTTTTGTTTAATTTCGGGAATATTGAGTACGTGACTTGATACGTATCCGGCCTGTGGGATACGACCCAGCCCAACGAAAAAGCCAACGTCCCGAGTCGCGAGCCCGACACGGCGACGCCTCGTACGGCTCCACACACGCGCCTCCTCCCGCGCAAGAGATGCGCCACCGCTCGCTGGCCGCCGGCGACGAACCCCCGCCCCCTCGCGCTGCCTCTCGCGGAGGAGATGCACCGCAGCTCACCAGTCGTTGGCGACGAGCCCCTGTCCCCACACGCCGCATCCTGCGCACGCGCACAGCCTCCCGCGCAGGACATGCGCCCCTGCTCGCCGGCCGCCGCCGCCAAGCCTCTGCCGGTCCGCCCTCTTTGTGCCATCCATCAATCGACCTGGGCACCCACCAGTCCGCTATGGACGTGGCTAGCTCCCAAGATGCAGGGAACAGGATGATTCAGCACTCAGCAAAGCTAGCTTGCGCAGACCTCCCATGAGTACACCCCCTTTTCATTCTTGATGTACTCTATACTTCTGCATTCATCTAGTATACTTTGGACTTATCTCCAGTGAAAACTAAGAAACCTACAAGGTGATCTAGTGATGTATCATATATGATTGTATGTACTAAACTAATAATTAGTGATTACTCAAATTTTACACTTTCTCAATTTTAATTTCCATTACTATTTATTTTATTAAAAAATAGTAAAACGTATCCGCGTATCCTATTTTCCGAGAAATTGCCGTATCCACGTATCCGTATCCTTCCGATACCGATACATGTATCCGTATCCGTGCTGCATAGTCTCCACTGTCCTCTACCCTGAGCTTGGTCGAGTGGCCGCGGTGCGCCGGTGAGCGTGGACGCTCCTCTCAGGCGAACATGGACGGTGACAAGCTAACGAACATGAGCACAACCCATGGTATGGGCACGGACGCACAGCAACACAGAGGGCATATAGCATGGACGCGGCAGCGCCGCCAGATGCCGGCCATCTTCTTCCCGACCCCAGATACTGGACACAATGACCGGCGGCACCCAACCGCCAGATGCCAATGCCGGCAACAGCAAGCAGCGGCACCCGATCGGAGGAGACTTCGCCCGCACCATCAGCGTCGACCTTGCCGGTGAGCTCGTCTCATGCGCGGATCTGACCGTTGCCGGGCCAAGGGCGGCGAGCTCAGCTCGCCACGCCAACCGCTGAGACCGAGGGCACCATTGCTTTCACCCAGCCGCACGGGCTTAGCCACCTCCGCCGCCCTCGCTAGCCGCCAGCTCTACACAAAGGCCGGTCCAGCTTGTTCCTAGCTGGATTCTACTGTGGCCGCGCTGCCCGCTGCTTGCTGACCCCGAGGGCCGCGTCCGTGCCGCTTGGTGCTCGCCGACACGCCAGCCCCGTGCGGCGCGACTAGCCAGACGCGCCCCCACCTGCTCACTCGGCGGCGGCGGCTGTGCGCTCGCTGGCTATGACGGCAGGCCCCTCGCGTGTGGTGGGTATGACTGGAGATGGAGAAGACAGAGAGAGAGGGGGGCTGATGAATGGGCCCTATGTGTGAGTGAGTGTGTGAGAGAAGAGGAAGGGGGTAATCTTGTCCATACGGATATAGTATCGTTCGTATACATAAATGGTGTATCTTAAATATCTGCAGAGTTTCAATGGCAGTGGCATAGTTTCTTAAATAGTACGGTAAAGTTATAATTATAATGACACAGATCTAATTAACTCTTTTTTTAAGATAATGAAAGAACATCTGGCTTCATCCCCACAAGTGAGGAATCAGACCAAAATTATTGTAGGACACAAATACTTAAAACATCTCTGTGAAATGGAAGAACATCTACCAGTAGCATCAACAATGTGAAATTGATAGTTGATAGTTGTGCTCACTGGCAGTGATTCAGCCCACAACCAAGTAAAGTCACTGGCTAGGGGAACATGCCACTGGCTAGGGCTGTGGCCTTCGTGCTCTCCAGCATCCGCAGGCCTGCGCTCTCCATGGTATCTAACCGCGCCGCCGCGCTCTCCAGTAGTCAGGCCTGGTCATCTACTTATGTAGCCATGGAGGAAAAAAAAGGGGGAGCTGGTGTGGTGCTTGCTGCTTGGTGGATTGGTGGAGGACTAGAGGGGCATGCCGTGGAGATAGCTTTGCTATCGTTTGATTAATAAGGAGGGGAAAAGAACAGACTGGAAGCCGCAGCGTCTTGGGAAGAGATTCAGAGAAGCAGGGATTATGTATTAGACAGTTGTCCGTGCTGAGAGAACAACCGTTAAGCTGCTGCTGGTGGTGGATCTAATGCTTGCTACTATGAATACGAGTTGCCGCTAATTGGACTGCAAACTGGAGGAAGAAGCCAGGGAGATCTCGTGAACGGAACTGCTGCTTTGAGTACATGCTGGCTCAGATTCGCAAATTGGCTCCCCTCCCCCTGTATTTTGTTTCACGCTCCGGCACTGGTGGCGCTGTGCTGCTGCTAAAAGCAGGAATGAAGCGTCAGCGACCAATGCGCAAGAGCATCTATGTGAGCAGCTAAGGCCCTGTTTGGATCAGATTCGCAGATAGGCAATATCAGAGACGATTGATAGGTGCGCTGTGCTTACTAGCAATGCAAAAACATGGTTGAATCGCGTGATGCGTTCATGCGTACAAGCACAAACAACATAGATTTGAGCCCAGTTCTTTGGGGATTGTTCCGTCGGTGCCCCCAATGTCGTCCCAGAACCAAAGGCCACAGCGGCCGGGTATGCTTTACCGTTCATATAAAGGGGGTTATCTGGGGTTGCTGGGTTCTTTAATCGTTTCTAAAATTTATGTCATATCAAATATTTAGATATTAAAAAAAACATTAAATATAGATTAATTATAAAATAATTATATAGATAAAGACTAATTTGTGAGACAAATTTTTTAAGCCTAATTAATTCGTCATTAGCATATGTTTACGGTAACACTACGTTGTCAAATCATGGACTAATTAGTTTTAAAAAATTCGTCTCACAAATTGTGCAATTAGTTTTATAATTAGTCTATATTTAATATAGACATGTATATATTTAAATATTTAATGTGACAGAAATTTTAGAAGTTCTGCAGAACCATACAGGCCCTCACACACGTATTAGCCATAGATCCATCCAAGGCATCATCCCCTTGTGCGCGTTAGAAATCGGTAACAAAAAAAAAGAGTAGTAAAACGAAAAAGAAAAGCAGGTCTGATTTAATTCAATCTCACCCCGTACCTGGATAAGGAGGTCGAAAGACAAATCAACCGCGGCTCTAGAGGAGATGCTCTTATACAAGCGAGCGGAAGGTTCCTTGGAGCGAGAGGGAGAGGGGAACGAAGATCTTGTACACAAACTCGTTCATTGTAGGGCCTATATATATGAGGGCATGAGACGAACCTTCCGTGAAAGTGACGTTTTCTTCTTAACAATAAAGTAAAATACACCAGCGGTCCTAAACTTGTATCGTTGTGTCATCCCGGTCTTTAAACTCACAAATTAATTGTTTAGGTCCTCAAACTTGTTTATCTGTGTCATCTTGGTCCCTAAACTTGTTTGGTTGTATCATTTCGGTCTTTAAACTTGCAAATCACCCGTTTAGGTCCTTAAACTTGTTCAGTTGTGTCATCCTGGTCCCTAAACTTAGTTTTGAGTCTCATCTGGATCAAAACAGGGTGATCTAAAAACTTTATATCAAAAAATAATTTATAATTTTTCCTTATGAACTCAAATGAAGACAAACTTTATATAAAATTGAAGCCCTCGACGCGATCTATGACTTTGTAGTTGAAAAGTTTTTGAATTAAAACTGTTTAGGGTCCCGAAATATTATTGTATGTTTATAGATTTTGAAATTTAAAATTTAAAATTAAATTTTAGGACACTAAATGACTTTAAATAAAAAAAATTTCAACTATAAAGTTGTAGATCCTATTGAGAATTATAACTTTCATATAGAACATATCAATATCCAATATTGTTTGATAATTTTAAATTTTAAATTTCAAAAATTTTGAAATTTAAAATTTAAAATTATTAAAAAATCTTGGATATTGATATGATGTATATGAAAGTTATAGTACCAGCACACATCACAAACGACATGGCTGGCACCGCGTCCACGTCCACCGCACATCGCCATTGCGGCAAATGTCCTTTCCAGCGTCTCAGTCGTCACAGAAAAACAGTAGAGTAGTTGACGGACTGCGAAAGGTTGCTACTGCCAACCAATAACGAGCCCACTCGGTTTCAATCTGCTTGAGGAAAACTTTGGCGTCCGACGAGGCGACGACTCCGAAGGTGACCCCGAAACCGAAACCGAAGCCGAAGCCGGATTCTGGTCGAGCCTGGGCCCCCGGTACATGCACACCGTCAAGCAGTACTCCGATCTGCGATGTTTTCACTCCTGTCACCATCGGCACGTCAGCTTATCACTTTCATATCGTCTCAGAGTTGGTCGAGAGACTCCAATGCCCGTATGCCGACAGCAGCTTGCGTCACACCAATCTTGATCGTTACTGTACGTATGCCTCCGTGTCCACTCCACCCGCGTGGCTGACTGCGGCAAGCCCACGGAAAACGTTCATTCAGTAGTAGTGCGAAACGCGTCGTATTCGCCGGCGTGCTGCCCTGTTCAGATTATTATTCTGAGATGGATTGATCCACCGATTCCTCCGTCCAGAACATTATTACATCCTCCTTTTCCAGGTGCAAGTCTGGATGGAGCGCACGACGAGGAAAAGAACAACGCACGCAGATCCTCCTGCCAGCAAAGGGCGATACGGCGAGGGAACAAACACCTTTAAAAAATCCAGCAGACCGACCGCGTACGTAATAAGCAACGGAAATTCCATTTGGCTAACATCGGGTACTCTGACTTTTTTGTTATTATTATAAATACGTACATCGCACATCAAGTTTCTTCACTCCGCTTTCCATCTATCTTCCATCGTCTTTGCCTGACTTTCCAACTTCCAGTGCTTGATTTTGACGACGAACATGGACATTATTGGTTCGGCATGCAGCCGGAGTCTTTTGTTCCCTCTTTCTGAAAGCAACTTTCTCAATTGACAATAAAATGGCGACGACACGACGAAACGCTTTCCATCCACACACCGGACACCGGGTTGTTCCGTGTCCACCTCGTAGCTGCCACTGCCAGTCGATATCATCAAAATGTCATTCCAAGAAATGTACCAAGTAATTGCCTTCACTTTCACAAGAAAATGCGACTCCTTCTCATTGTCTTCTAAGACATTTTGATGCCATATTGCCATCAACAAATTAAAGCTTTGTTTCGCACGGCTCTTGATGGCTCTGTCTCCATTTTATAAATCAACTCTTTCTTGCTAAAATAATCTGGAAGCCTGGAAAGCAATTTTTTTGTAACTTCAGAAGCTCCTATGACTCTCTGAGTCAGTAAAACTGTAGCAGGAGACGTACCAAACAGGTGAATTTATCAATCAATAATAGAACCAAAAATGAAAAAGAAAGGGGGCACTGGAACTAATCGTTGTGCTAGATATAATTAACGTACCTGGTCTAGTACTCCCTCTGAACGATTCAAAAAAAGGCAAACGCAAAAGAAGTTGAGGTGATTAAAAATGTGCCTCGCAATCACAATTACATGTCTTCATCGCCTTATTATGTTCGTATATGTACGGGTGAGGAATGTTAGAAAGAATTATACTCTGAATAAGAGGAGAAATGAACACTCATTACTTATCTAATGAGGATTTACTTAAAAACTGCTGCTAAAGTTTTTTTATAGGTGTTCAGGAACTCTTGACTGGTTTTGAAAAAAGCTGTTGAACTAGCTGGGTCTCAGAATTTGAGGTTCAGAATTTATTGCCAGATTAATTTTCAGATAGTTGAACGTGCATGCATGGTTCCCAGAATTATTGACAAGGGTTAATTAGATACTCCATACTATCTACAGCCTGTCATGAATCAGTTATGAAATCTTTTCAAGATCAAAGAGGCGAACAGCTATCAGGACTACTCAGTTTAATTTGAAGGACTCATCATATATATTTAATAGACTTTTTGGCGTACCTGTATGTATGCGGAAGAATCAAAGTCATGGCGATTTTATATACTGAAAAATACAGTTGTTGTCCGGTTGATACCCTCAATTCGGATGGGCCAACGAACCTGCAGCTATGAAAATCATACGCTGTATAAGTATTTGATTTCAATCACTCGGACAAGTTAATACTCCTAGTACGCATTAACGGGCGTCTTGAATGAATCGGACGGCAAATCATGTTTACAGGAGAAGCATATATCCTATGGTTTCCATGCATCTATAGGTTGATCTCATATTAGGAGTACATTTCTATGTGTTTATACTGTAATTTAAGAGATTCACACATTATAAGGGTCCATGTGCGTTGAGTTCCTTCTCTTTAGAGCATCTCCAGTAATGCCCCTACTTGACCCCTACTCTGGATTTGGGTGGTGAGGGTCAAAAATTCGGTTCCAGCAGACCTCTTACTACACCTCTTACTTTTGTTGTCCTCCTATTTTCTCCCAAAAACCCCTACTTCTGTTGCCCCCATACTCCACTTTCCCTACTTTTTCTCTCTCTCATGACTGCATCGACGCTCTTCTTCCCCGTGATGACCGAGCTCGGCGCAGCTTTGCCCTCCCTGGCGCAGCCTCCGCGGCGGCCTTACCCCGGTGGATCGGCCTGCCCCGGCGCGGCCTGCCTCGGTGGTGGCGCCCTACCGGCTCGGGCTCGGGCTAGCCCCCCCTCCCCCCAGCGGCGCTCCCAGTGCGGATCCACGGCGTGGTGGCCCTTCCCCGACGCCGATGGCTCCCCGGCGCTCCCAGCGTGGCTCCCTGGTGTAGCAGTCCAACCCCGACGATGGTGGCTCCAGCCCTACCCCTAGCGTGACTCCGGCGAGCCCGCCTTGGCGCCGCCTGGTCTCTGCTCCGGCCGTCAATGGGAAGAAGAAGATGAGAGACATCTGCAAAGATGGATTTGGGGGTCTATTTTTTGTAGTGTTGCTGGAGTAAACCACAAAATATGAGTAGTATAAAAATTGATAGCTACCTAAATAGAAAAGTAGGATTGTGTTTTAGTTAGCCTCGCTGGAGATGCTTTTATTATTGGCCCTGTTCTCTTGAACTTATCAGCCTGACTTATCAGTTATGGTACAGTATTTTTTTTTCACAATAAATCAGTGAATCGTACTTTTCAGCATGGCTCTTTATTATTGATGGCACAAGTTGGGTAAAAGATGAGGTCCTTGGATTTGATTTTTGTTTTACGTAGTTCATACCAGCAGACGATGCTTCTTGGTCCTCTGAACTCTTGTAACTTATATGCAGACGTGCTGTTATAATTGAAGCGATTTGGGTAACAATATACGCAGCGATGTTTTCAAGTATTTAGTATATTTTGCCATTGAACTTACTTTTTAGAGAATTACTTTGGTAAACATCAAATTCTGACATTTAGGAAGTGAGTCCTCAACTGGTTGGGTGGGAGATTGAGAGGTGTGGTTGTGCACCCGACCATTTTATG